AAAAATATTTATTTTAATCAATATTTTACTAAATATTAATTGTGTTGAACGTGAGAGTGATGTCAATATAACCACAACAATAAATCCCATATTAGAGGGACTATTCAATCAAACCGTCGATATAGAGGCGCCAACCATCGACGGCACCGGCTTTGGTATGAATGGCTTTATTTATTAATTAAATTTTTAATTGCATAAAGTTTTTAATTAAATTTTTAATAAAAACAATTTCCATGTAAACATATTGAAAAAATGAAATTGTTAATATATTTAGTGTTATTAATTCAAATGACAACCATATTATGTTTAAATGAACATAGAATTAGAAAACGATTCTATATTCTAGATTTAATGCCGGAACCAATAAGGGCATTAAACTGTCACAATATCAGCGAGGTCGAACATAACTGTTCCAACAGCTGCCCGGCCAGTTGTGAGGAGCCGAGCAAACCCGCCTGTCGTAATGACTACTGTTGGAGAGGCTGTGAATGCAAACCCGGTTACGTGAAAGAGCACCAGAATTGGACGTGTATTCCCGTTGAGTTGTGTCCGAGTGAGACAATTATTTCATTTTGTATTTGGTATTAATTTAAACTTAATTTATTTAATGATTTTTTGTTGTCATACAGCGTGTGGCGTAAACGAGCACTTCCGGGACTGCGGCAGGAATTGCGAGCCCACGTGTGGGAACTACCAAAACACTCCCCCGCACTGTAATAACAATCATAACTGCAAGAGGGCGTGTTTTTGCAATTATGGTTACGTTAGGGATATGGGTAAAAACGGCACGTGTGTTCCCGTTGACCAGTGCCGTACGTGTACTCACTATTTTAGTTTATAATTTATCAATTAATCTATATATGCATTAATTTGTCAAAATAATAGCCCAAAAATGCGGTCAAAACGAGTACTACGAAGAGGCGGGCGTTCCGTGTGTGCGGACTGCGGCCAATCCGCGACCCAAATGCCTGGACGAGCCGCCGGTGCCCGCGTGTGTTTGCAACACAGGTTACGTACGAAACAACCATACGGGACGGTGCGAACAACTCTACCCTGGTCACGGTTAGAAACAAATGACATTTTGGCTTTAAAAACACAATTAATTTACAACTAATTGTATTATAATTGCAAAACACTGTTTCAGTGGAGAAGTGCGGCGGAAACGAGACGTTCAGTCAGTGCGGCACTGAATGCGCGCGAAAGTGTTTCGACGAAACCAAACGCCACTTTTGTCCCACTATTTGTCTGAGGGGTTGCTTTTGCAATGAGGGCTACGTTCGCGACCCACACAACCAACGCTGCCTTTTGGCCGCAGATTGTTATGTCTGGCGACCGGACACTCGCCGACGCCGCGAGTCGGACACAACCACATCACCGCTACCAACAACATCGACAACAACATCGACAACAACATCGATAACAACATTGAGAACTACATCGACAACTACATCTACACCATCGTCTCCCACGACCCCCGTATCTCTCGCCACCACCCCCGCCCCAATCCCACCTCCCGTTGTTCCCATCGCACCGATTGTTAAGTCTTTGGCGCCTATTATCTCATTTTGAATGTTTTATTTATTGAATTTTATTTTTGACATATATTAAATTATAAATTATAATTATTAATTTACTTAATGTTTTTATGAGATGTATTTGAATTGTTTGTGTTTATTCCTCATTAATGCTTATTTATATTTTGAATAAAATACTATTTTAACATGGTTTATTTTTGAATAGTAATTGCAATTAAAATGAAATTTCGTATAAATTTAATGACATATATTTTATATTAAATGGTGAATAATGTGTTATTAATTGAGTTAAAATTTATAACATATAAATAAGAAGTTTGGATTTTAAATGAAAATAACAATTATAACGATAATTGTGTCAAAGAATGCAAACCATCTTCAATACAATGCAATATAATAATACAATAATTGGTTTATTCTGACATTTTATGAATTGTGGTAAAACTGTAATAATAGTGATTAATTTATGGTGAGTTGTCCTTCAATTAGATCTATTAATTTAATAAATACAGTGAAAATAATTGTCAACAACTGTTGAAAGTAGAAAATCAAATGAAATTCAAAATAAGGACACAATTGAATGGAAAATGTGTTAAAATAGTAATTAATAATTACTAATTATTCAATAATTAAATTATCTCTTCAGTAAGTTATTAGACTGTGTACTGCAGTGAAGCATAATCTAACTGAAGCCATGAATTTGCATAGTTAACACTTATACTGTGCTTTCACTGCAATACTTACCAATGAGAGGGTGGGCTTCATTACAAAGCACATCAACAGTTTAAGGGCATTTAATAATTGTAATTTTTAATTATATTTTATTTTATATAATTAATACCCACGGCAAAACCCCCCCAATTAATGAGGTAAAGTTTCCAACAGTAAAACCCTACACGTTGTGACCACATTTTTCCATATATATCATTAACTTTTGATTAAATGATACTATTTATACTGTATAATTCACTGTAAAAATCACTTTTTTAAATATTTCTTGGACCTTTATTTTATTTGACAATTTCAATGCTTTGTTTATTAATATAACATAACATTTTATATAGAAAGTGATAATTATAAAAATAAAATACGCCAAATAATTAATAAACTATAAATAAAAATGTTTTTTATTAAATGATATTATTTGAAACATTTTACAAATCATAAAAATTATTGCTCAAATAATTAAACAATTACATAATTCTAATGTTTATTTATAATCGCAATAAATATACTATATTTTATAATAAAATATACTAAAATTTTTTATAAATATCTGTAATTTCGCTACTATTTATAATTTACAACTTTACATTTAAATTAATGATATAAATTCTTGGTTATATATCCGCTTTATACAGGCATAATATTCGACAATCTCCTAAAATTATATAAATAATAACAAATTCTTGTTTCACATGTTGTTCATTCAGAAACTCGATGAAATCCCAGATTCTGGATAAATTACATGATCAAATAATATTATTAAAACAACATAATATAGCTCATTTTTAGAAATTCTTATACATCTATGCAAAGTGTCATAAGACATGTATTATTTTGTAATATGAAATGCTTACCATTAAAGTGTAATCCGGGCGCAAAAGTCTGTGACAATATATTTATAGCTTATATTGAGACCAACGGCTTGTTATCTCGTTATCGAGAATATCTTATATATAGAATTCACACAAACACTTGCTATGAATGCACTGAAAATGTAAACTTGAAATTATATATTTATTTTATTATGTAATTGTCTCAATAATAGTCTTTAATAGTATAAAACAGCATTAATGTAAAGTTTATATAAACAAAAAATAAAATATTTAGTAACAATATTGTAAATTAACTATAATTTATAAATATAAATTGTAATTGATTCACTTACAACATGAATATACAAAATGACAACGTGTTTGATTTGATGAGATGACTATCCACTGCAACGTTCCCTAATTCTGGTGTTCGGGTGGTCACCATAGGTGCATAAAAAGTTAAATGTAATCTCCATGCCATCTGTGATATAACCTCGCTCATATAGTTGGGCGATTATTTGGTACATGTACATCTTGTGTGCCGGACACAGATTATCAAACATGTCGTTTAACAAACAATAACTAAGAAAATGTATTAACAAAATATAAAAACAGGTAAAATATTAAAACGTTTAATGTAAGTGAATGAATCAAAATCAGGTCATAAAGTGATCCAAAGCCCGGATTCTGTGTTTATATTTAAGCGACGATTGCTTTTGAAGCACTTTTTGGGGCACAGAATGCGTATTCGTTGACAGAATCGAGACTTGTTTTATATATCAGAACATCATATTTATAGCACAGACTTCTCTCTCTCTCTCTCTCTCTCTCTCTCTCTTTCTTTCTCAGCTAAACGTCAGTTAAGTTCAATGTTTTTGTTTTAAGTCCTCAAAACAGACTTCATCTAAAGTGTTAGCTTTATTTATATAATACTGTATATATATTTCTCTAATTAAATGTTTGGTTAGTTAACTGTAATGAATGATAACCACTCACTTCATATGAAATTATTTCAGTGTCTGTTTGATTAGTTTAAGCATTAAATCACTCAAAATGTTGGCAAATTTTATATAAATTATAATAGATGTGGATTATTATGACTTTTACTAAAAATAATTACATTAAAATGTTTTAATTAAAACAATTTTAAGTATATTTTAATTATAAAATTCTTATAGTATTAATATAAGAAAGTATTTAATTTTGTAATTCAAATATTTGACTGAATGTGATAAAAACATGTTTTGTAAAAATAAGTTTAATTATAAATTTTATTGTTATTCAATAATTTCTTATGAAAAGGCAGACAATCTGGTGGTAAGCGCAGGCGATATATTTAGCACCAGGGGTTCAGATATGCAAAACAACAAATCAAAAAACAACATTCAAGTATGTGTTGGAGTTTTGCCAACATTTTTTGAAACAAACTCTTCTCAGAATATTCTGTGCGCTTATGTTCACAATATTTTGCTTAAAATTAGTAAATATATTTCAAATATACTTGACTATTTGATTTGAAACAAAAATAATGCAAATAATTTCTAAATAAAAGTTATTTTATTTAAATATTGTTATTAATATAAAAATAGCCACAATTTCTATCAATATAATCAATTCAAAAACAGTTAGAAGTCTATGTTGTAAATCTATGTTATAACTCATAACTTATAAACTAAAACCAATAGACTTACTTTAGACCCAATAGACTTATTTTAGATTGATGATTTTAATGAATTAATTGTCAATTTCTTGTAATACATAATTATTATGTTATCACTTATGCTTAATCTGCATTTGACTGCTTTTATTAAACAGATTTATCGCTACTTTTATATAAGTTATATAATATAACACAAGATATTTGCAAACAAAGAGTATATTAAGTACATTGAATACATAGATTGTAGTGTCTGATAATGAAATAATTATTACATTTTATAGAATTTATACAAAAGTTTTATTTATAATTTATAAATTATAATAAATTAAATACAAATTTTGATACAAACCATTAGCTTTATTTGTAGCAGAATTTTAATAATTCACCAGAAATTGTCTTTAGAAATACCATAATGATATATAATGTAATAAAAATACTTTCAATTATTAATTTAAGACTAGCTTTAAAAAATTTATAGTTTTAAATGTATTTTTCTTAAACATATAAATTGTAAAAGTATTAGTTGGCAATCATTTCTATGACATAACTCTAATTGGTTTATAAAAGATATATTTTGACATTTGTATTGCAAAAATAGTGTATATTTCATGTGATTTTACAAAATAGTCGTCTGAATCCTAATTTAAATGCAAATTTGATATTAAGATTACGTTTGATATAAAATGTTTTGTTTATAACCTCTACCCACAGATTGAGGACAGATATAGGAATCTACATAAGAATATTCAAAATAGTTTTGTTGATTTAGATAACTATTCAGACAATTATTTTATAATTTTACTGTAGAAATGTACTAAAAATATATATTAAAATATTAAACTATAATGCTTGTACTAAAATCATATCCCAATGGATAAATAAAATTATCACATTTTAAAATTATATACTGTATATGTCTGATAAATTTTATATGATAATGATATACATAATGTATGATAAAATCATTGTATGATAAAACTTAATAAACATAACTTTGTTGAAAACAACTTTGATACATGAAATATAACTAAACTACCACTGAATGCACTGCAACTGAATTGTGTTGACAGCATTTATGCATGTATTAAAATAAATACCATATGGTAACTAATTAAAAAAAAGTATAAAGTTTTACATTCAACAGTCAGAGTTAATTTAGAAATAAATAACAAAGAAAAAATTATAATAATAAAATAAGCGTCAAAATGGTGTGTGGTAATTTTATTGATGCTGTCCTTCGGAAGTGCAATATTTAATGCCATCAAATATGTGATCAAATAAAGAGATACGCACTTTACAGTACACTATACACTATTATATAGTACATTATAAAGTACATAATTAAGTACATAATCAGCACTGATTGTACTGATCATATATAATATTAACATTCATTAAATGATATGAATTGAAGTTAAATTTCCAGACAGTGCAAAGAGTGTAGACTTTAGAAAAAGTGAAATATTATATAAAATTTAGATTTTCATAAATATTTTTCATTACATTTGTGTATCGCATACGAGCTGTTTGAAAAATATTTTTTAACTCAACTTGATAAATAATTAAGATTATGGCTGCCAATCGTACTCCAGATATCAAATTCACCCAGGTATTTTGCATTTTAATAAATATTTGTTTTAATTTTTGTAAGAATAAAAATAAATTGACTCAAATTATTTTTGTTTGTCAGATATTCATAAACAATGAATTTGTGGATTCCGTGAGTGGGAAGACATTTGAGACAATAAACCCGTCCAACGGTCGCGTCATTACACGTCTACAGGAGGGCGACAGAGCGGACATCGATAAGGCTGTGGCCGCCGCTCGCAATGCCTTCAAACGGGTTTGCATTTAAATCAAACAAATTTTTAAAACATTTAATTAAATTGTAATTAATTTGTAAACATATTATTAGAATTCTGTTTGGCGTAAAACAGACGCTTCAAAAAGGGGTAAACTTATAAATAAATTGGCGGATCTGATTGAGAGGGACAGCCATTACTTGGCCTCATTGGAGACCATCGATAGTGGAAAGCCATATAGGAGTGCCTTAAATGATGTTCAATCTGGCGCTAATAACCTACGCTATTACGCCGCCTGGGCTGACAAAGTGTGCGGTAAGACTATACCGGCCGACGGACCAGACTTTACATTCACTCGACTCGAGCCGTTGGGTGTCTGCGGTTTCATAACACCCGTCAGTAACACATTTCTACATATTTTATGCGAATATAATTAACTTAATGTTTGTATATTTAGTGGAACGCAGAGATGTGGACTCTAACAACTAAATTAGGTCCCGCTTTGGCCACCGGTAACACAGTTGTGGTCAAACCCGCAGAACTAGTAAATTATAAACTTTTGTGATTTTCTTAAATTTAATTTTATTAAAATTCATTACAGACATCGTTGACAGCCCTATACGTTGCGAGTCTAGTAAAAGAAGTGGGTTTCCCGCCCGGAGTGGTAAATGTAGTGCCAGGTTATGGCCATACGGCGGGCGCCGCTCTGTCTGAACACATGGACGTCAATAAGATTGCGTTCACGGGTTCGACACAAGTCGGGAAACTCATACAAAAAGCGGCCGGAAATTCAAATATGAAGCGGATTTCACTCGAAACGGGCG